AAACCTGAACAACTGACATTTCATAAATTGTCATGGAGAAAGGGAAAAGCGGATAGAGAATGGCAAGGAGAAAATGAAGAAGAAAAGAGAGAGGGGATATTACTGTTAGGACATGGTGGGCTATATTTATCCTTAACTCTATTGAGTCTGTCCTTATTGCAAAAGCTGTCTATTCATTGCTGCGTCTTAAATGTCATGGGGATTTGAAAAGGATAGAGAGGGGGAAATATTGAATAGAGCATTTGGGATTGAAAGCAATTGACTGATAGCTATTAAAAAAAAGAGAAGAGAGATAGAGAGGGGATTTGAGAAAACGTGGTGGGGGCTTGTTGGAAGATGGTCTGACCACTGCAGAAGTTGGCAATGGCAGAAGGAGTGGTGGAAGGTTCGCACCTTAAATGGAGGAGTGAAGGAAAGAGTATGTTAGAGAGATAGATAGATAAATAGATAGATACATACACACATACATACATATAGATAGAGAGAAAGAGAGAGAGAGAGAGAAAGAGAGAGAGAGAGAGAGAGTTGGACAGAAATAGAGAAATAGAGAGAGAGAGACAATGACAAGGAAAAAAGGGAAGGAAAGGGGGGGGGGGGAGGGGGAAGGGGGAGGGGGGTGGGGAGGGTGAGATATAGATTAATAGAAATATGTAGAAGAGACAGAGAAAAAACATCAAATAGAAGAAAAACTGTGAAGAAAAGATGATGTCAAAATGAAATGGGAGAAGAGGACAAAATAATATAAGGAAAATCAACTGATGATTTAACATTAATTTTAAGAGTTAAGACATAGACTAGAAAAACATGAAGAAACATGGATTGAGAATAATCAGAAGACCTAGGGTGTGAAAACAGGAGAAAGCCTGGATGAAAATGGAAACAAATAAACTGAGATAAAAAGAGAAGACAGAAAGAGAAACAAAATTCTGAAAGGGAAAACTACACTAAGATCAAGGGCAGGAAGGACAAGAACAGTAAAAAAGTAAAATTATGAAGAAAGCAAAGAAGGACAGAAACAAATAAAGGGAGAGAGAAACAAATAAGTGAGAAAGAGTGAGAGATGCTAAGTTAGCCAGAAGGAGCAAGGTTATGTTTCCCTTCATCTTTTTAATAAAATAAAAGAATCAGGGAAAACCCCAAATTACAACAAAACCCTCCATCCCAAATGACACCCCACAGCGGTAAGGGAGGACCAAGATATCACCTATAATAACTTGCAAACTTCTTCTTTTCCGTCATGTTTGGCAATAAACATAGCCTGAACACCATGACCTTTGGACAACCAAAGAGTGTTGTAAATAAAGAGCAGTCAGAGAGGTATCTCCGTCCCAGATAGGCGCGGCCGAACAATGCCCCTCTCTGCTGTTGAAATGTCAGTGGGACAAGCTCAATAGCTTCAAATGTCACTCATTGTGTCATCCTTGCCCTTTTATCTCTGACCAACATCAAGTTTTTGCTCCAAGAAAAAATAAGTATTATGCTTCTCTTGCCAGCAACAAAGGCACCCCTTTTCAATGTATCTTTTGAAAGGTGAGATGATATAATTCAGGGCGAGCATTGATCTGCCCTTTTCTTTTGAATTTGTCACGAGGGCGATATTAAAATGACATTAACTATAAATAGCAACCGTCATTTCAATCTTCAGCTGGGTTTGTCAATGATATGGAGGGGTCATAGAGGCAACAGATGTGATCTACTATTAAAAAAATTTATTTCATTTTCATTGAGCGGACTCATTTTTCACGTGTTTTGCAAACATGTGACAAAATTAGAATATTCTCATTCAGAACAATAACTTGATCTTCAGCTGTGTTAATCTATGATATGGACCGGTCATAGCGGCAACAGATGTGACCTCTTTTTAAAAGAATTTTTCATTTTCATTGAGCAGACTCATTATTCACTCGTTTTGCAAACATATGACAAAATTAAAATATTCTCATTTAGCGCAGTAACTTGATTCTCTTCTAAATGGGATGAATGTTTACCAACTCACTTTTTAATGTTAGGCATATCAGATTGACTTGCCTGCCTACATGTAGCAGACATACCAACTGAATGTACATGGGATGAGAACAGGTAAGCCTTTATCAGAAGCATTACTAATTTAAAATTTATCAGGGAACATTATAATTTCATACCAGATGAAACAATACTGCGAGGTTCTTCATGCTTTATATATCTTGAATGGAACACGATACAATACAGAAAGAGCACAAGAATATTGACATATTTTGATTGGACTAATGAGTGATTTTCTCCTTGTCTGCAGAGAGCCAGAAGGGCGTTAAATCATGTTTTACATTGAGCTAAAGCCCTTCTTACTCTAAGCAGTCAATATTCACTTGGTCCTTTGAGTTATCATCAAAACCTAATGATCAAGGTAGGGGAAGAGGATTAGTTTAATGAATAAAATTTTGTTTTCAAACTGTTGAAAACTCATTTTACTCAAAAAGTTACAGTAAAAATATATATATCTGTTTATTTCAATTATTGGTGCTTTGACATTCCTTACAGGTACTTAGGTCCTCATTAGGTAAAAAAAATTACTTAAAAGAAAAACAATCACCCATAAAAGTCAAGTTTATTTTTTCTGTTCACCCTCCCTTGCATATTTCAGAATGTTGTGGCAGTGATAATCTTTTGTTGATAAATTATCTATAACTCAATGAGTACTTTATGTCATAGGAGATCTTGAACACAAATCAGACAATTCAGGTAGCAGAAATGGAAGATCAAATCTTTTGATAGAAGAAACAAAGGAATACCACAGCTATGATTATACTCTGACTGACTCTGGAAGTAGGAACACTGACATATCTGTACAAAAACAGCTATAAAAATATACACTCTACACAAAATATTCTACTTAGACAATTCTGGAATAAAAATTTCTATTTATCAAGGAATGGAATAACTAGAGACTTAATGAAACCCACATTGTCTGACATTCTGTTTACCAAGTACGCGATCCCACTGGACATTGGTAAAAAGAGGATGATATTTCCTTGTTTGATCAATTTAACCAAAATATGGCACTCTATTCAATAAAGTAGAAGAGGTAGTAGCAGAAATGCATGATGTATCACCCTTTAAATCTCAGAAGAAGTTAGGGAAATTACCCTTCCTCTTACAGTATTGTTATCTCGTTCAAATGTATCATGAGAAAAAAGTTAGCTGGATAAAGTTAGATTTATCACTTTGTTTTCTCACAGAGGACAGGTGATGTAACGAGGACTTATTCAATGTGGGAATCTACATATGGTCTGTTGAGAGCCAGAAGGGTGTTAACACTGTGTTGAAGGTCATGAGGTAACAACCTTCTGGCTCCAAACAGACGACATTAGAAGCCAGAAATATGACTCCATAGCTTTTTGATTTAAATAGATGTGAGAAGAAATCAATCGGTTAGGAGTCACAAGGATGTTAAAGGTGATTTAAAGGTGAATTAAAGCTCATGAGTTAATGGCTTTCTGACTCCAAAGATAATGTTAAAAGCCATGAATATAGCTCTATGGCTTTTAACATGAATGGATGTGAGAATAAATCAATATTCCATCTGTTGAGTGCCAGAAGGGCATTAACTCTATGTTAAAGTATATGAGTTAATTCCTTTCTGGCTCTAAACAGACGATCAGATTGATAACATCAGTCTATCCATGGAAACATTATTTCTATGGAATGAACAAAGAGCTCAATCAAATAGACTAAAGCAAACACAGTGGGGGATCAAAATTGATGCATGAATACTCGACATGATTATTGATTTGCAATCTTTCTTTTATCTGCAAAAGTCGTTCATCCCAGATGAATAGATCATTACGTAGCTATCAATAGATCAGTGAAGTACATACAGATCATCATTAACCCTTTTACCACTCGGAGCTTTCCATCCCTCTACCTTATTAGCCTTCTCATGCCATGTGAGTCATCCTGTTACACGGACCATGAGAGAAATACTTCCATGGAACATATTTCAAACCAAATCTCAAAATTGAACTTTTACAAGTTTATCCACATTAACTTTTTTCTTACAGTTATAGGTATGGAATATTTTAAAGACCCCTCCAATTAGTCTCACATGTACTTGAGATATCTATATGCTAGAAAGTAATAATAATTATGACTTTTCATTTTCAATTTCATTTTCATTCTTTTTTTTTGGGGGGGGGGGGGGGGGGGGTTTCTGATGAACTTTGGAATCAAATAGCCATTTGAACGACTATTTATCATTTTGACATAATCGTGAAAGAAGTTGATATGTGTATCATTAATATATGAACAACATCCCTCATACTTTTAACAAAACTTGAGATCTATTCTTTAAAATGAAGAGTTTTAATTACAAGCATTTTTTTGTTATCTTTATCAATACACCTCTCTATGTGACCTCCCTAACAAATACCCTATATCACTTGCTGTCACTTGACAGTTAAAGAGACTACTTATTCACCCCATTGAAATGTAATTATACACCTGAGTACAAGGTATTCCAAGTGTGTCTTCCTGTCTGTTTTGAAGTATCATCTTCAATACTGCATTTACATTTTCCCTTGTGTTGAGCAAACATATCAGACCTATCATTCTCTTCATCAATCTCATTACAATTTTGCTTTTTAGTAATTCCTGCTTAAGGAGGGAGAATAAGAACATTTGCAACTGAGCAATTTGGACAGAATATATCTGTATAAAACACAACATCTTGGTTTGGCAAAGATCATCTAATACTCCTCAATGTAAAAGGGGTCCACATTTATGCTCAATACACATACACTCATATTCAAACCCACACTCACATCATAACTACATGTAGAAATAAAATTCACAGTAAAACATGACCAATGAGGGCGCTATTTGATAATGCTATTGATCAGGCCTGCATTCATAGAAATTCACATGCACCTTTGATGAGAATAAGATTTGAGGATATTAGACCTACAATTTCATATAACACTACAAATAATAATAAACAAGACTCCATGTTCATAACAGGTGGAAAGTACCCTTCATAAAAATATTCCATCATTTGTTTATTCTAGTCAAGATTTTGCTGTACATATTATCAATTAGACTCATGAAAACAGGCGATAAAAGATACCCAGGCTAAAAGTCACAATGAATTCAAACCTCAAGGTATCTGAGATAATTATTACATCGGTTGGAAATAAAGCGTAAAGCTCCATTCACACATAGCAGGGTAAACCCCCTTAAAAAACGCCATGGCAAAATACAAGGACATAATACGCTCACATGTTGTATATTGTTCATGTAATATGCAGACAAGTTGTATGTTGAGAGCCAAAAGGGCGTTAACCCTCTGTAAAAGTATGAGTTAATGCCCCCATGTTTTTTAGTGGAAGAATTAGAATGCTTTATAGGCCTTTATTGTGTAAAGCACCTTTTTCACCCTACATGCTATTAATTTACAGGTAGAATAGTTTATTTTGCCACAGCAGTTATTTGGAGGCAGTTTACCAAGTTGTGTGTGAACAGCGCCTCATGAAGCAAAGGTTCTTATTGTTACTATAAGGTGCCTTGTTCTTAATTTACACACACAAGTTTTTCTAAACCTTTTCTCAAAGAGGAAGACTATAATATAAAAACCCTTTCCCTACCTTCTCTCTCTCTCTCTCTCTCTCATTCATCTTTCTCATCACAGCATACAACTTCTTGGCAGTGATTTGAAGAAAGATGAAGGCAACCCAGTAAGAGGGAGGGAGAGAGAGAGAGAGAGAGAGAGAGAGCTCCAAACACAAATCATTTCATGTAAATAATATTTGTGGATTAAAGAATTCAAAATGGAGGACTCCCAATGCAACATATCCGGTACTCTTGACAGAACAGTCCATGGTTTGAGCTTTGTGAAAATCACCTACAATATATAATATAATTCACTTAAAGGAAATATCAGGTATCAAATCTTGTTCCCTTAATTTGAATGATTTCAATGATAAAGAGGAGAGGGAGAGAGAGAGAGAAAGGAGAGAAGGAGAAATTCATTGTGCTTAAACATCTCATACTAAAATGGCAGGGACCCGCTTACACCAGATGAAATATTGTTGTCTTCAAACTTAAGGATAACTAAAACCTATACTCAGCTTTGTTTACAAAATGATTTTGACTTCAAAGCCCAACACCAATTATACATAACATACAGTAAAGATTAAACAGAGTACAATTAGTTGTAGATGTTTTTAAAAGTATTAATTCAAATGATGGAACTATTGTTGTACCTTAAAAAAAAACCAAATTATACAAGGTAGTTTACATTCTGCTATCGTTATGTATATATAATCTTAAACTTAATCAACGCATCTAACCTAGAGATATTCAAATAAAACTTAAATGTTTGTATAAAGGCCATATTCAAACAGAGATTCTGAATTATTTTCTGAATAATATAAAATGATATGGACAGTGATATACATATATAGACTTTTCTTATTTGATATACACTACTACTATAGCTGCTAATATAATGGCATAATTGCTTGCTGAAACCTGCTCAGACAAATGCTTAAATAATAATGCTTTGAATTCTACAAAGCGGATAAACTGATATCAATTAAATATAAAATGGATATCATACAGAAAGCTCATAGTAACCAGGTATAATATCTAGCTCAATAAAAATACAACCATTATTCATTTTCTTTACGTCTTTCATATGTCTTGTGAATGATTTTAAATACATGTAACTATCAAATTTTGTTACCAATGCAATAACTTGGTGATGCAGACCATTAAAAAGATTTTCCGAAATAATTTAAAGAAATTAATGAAGCATAGAAGAACCTTTTCTCGTACGCAAAGACTCTGATTGTCAAAATATTAACAAGGCTATTCATAACAATACATATTAATGAAATTAAACAAAAAGTAAAGATTGTCTGAAAATTGCAACCTATCTGAACTAAGAATTGGAAACTAAAAATAGAAACCAAGTTGCACTGAAAAAAAGGCATAACTATTGTTGATTATAAATAAATTACAGGTACTTATCCAAGGTATTTTTAACTTTGATATTTAGATTAATAAATCTCATCAAATAAAAACAGGAACATCAATTAATCATTCGTTCAATGTGGATAAATACGAGTATAAAAGATTTGTAACAGAATTAAAAATGAAAAACAAAATACAAACTTTAAATTTATCAAGTGTAATCGGGTGAGTACAAATGAATCTATATAAATAATATGGCTAGCAACCCTCCACCGATAACCATATACAAATATTTCATTCGTGGGTGATACATGATATCAAAGAGCGGTATTACTTAAAAATCATCACAGCATGGATTTTATACAAAACAAATAAAAAGTAAGGAAACATACATATACTTTGAGTAAAACGTATTATCAATAAAAACCAAAACACATTTACATCCCTTTAGACATATGGAAAGACAAGTGACATATCTTACATAATTTCACACAGCAAATACCTCCACCATCATATATTCATACACATAGATTAAATAAACATCAATTGAAATACAATTTACAGTAATAAAATTTGTTATCAAATATATTTAAAACAGAATAAAAGGCTGTCAAAGTTAAAAATTTGTAAACTGATAAATATTACTTCAAATAATAAAAACTTGAAAAGCAGGGAACTTGCAGTCATATTTGACTTTAAACACTTTTAACAAAGTAAGAAAAACAGATTTTTTGCTATTCAAATTCATGTACCATTAGTTGGCACTTTGTGGATATGAGTTTATGGTGTTCACTTTTTATCATTCCCATAGCTGCCTTTTTAAAGGTTGATATTATTCTTCAAAAATTTGATCATATCTATTTTATGGACAACTTTTTCCTTCTTTTTAAAAATATAAATACTAAGCCCATTCTTTAAGCAGTTTCAGAAGGCGGAATTAATGATTGTTGGAACACAGTATTGTCATTTATTTTACACAAATTATTCAATTTGTTTTCATTGTGGTTGGATTTGCTCCTTCAGTAACTTGAATATTATTGTATAATGGATATACCCTAAAGGCCACATCCAGAATACATTTCACGTTTGTATTGTAATGTATTAAAAATGGTTCAGAACTAGATTTTGCAAAATAAATTGACCACTGTTTATCCTATGTAATAATTCACAACATATTAATAATGCATAACATTTTCTCTTCTGTACATATAGCAAGCACATTGTATACAAAATATTCATCAAAAGAAAAACATGATCTTACAAGATAAAAATAGAAAATAAGAAGTAACATGCATTATCATACAAACGCACATAGCTTCATTCACACCGTTAAAAGTCTGTTGCAGAAGACTAATTCAGATTATTATTCAAATAACATATCGTGCATGGAATGAACTCTCTCTTTGACACTTTAAAACCATTTTGTGTTCATCTGTTTGCATTGCACCTTCCATTTGATAAAATATCTTTATCTGCTATTCCAAACTTAATACCTTAGCCTAGTGGAATTCCTGACAACTTAAAGATTCTACTTGCATCCATTTCTGATGAGATTCTGAGATTTCCTATATTTTTCCATATCACAGCACCAACTATGTGTACTATCAGCACATATACCTATCAGTGCAAATACCAATCACTGATAAAAGATGCATTAAGAGGCTCATATAGTCTGCAGTGCTTGCTTGCCTCCAATTCCAACCCTCATCAGCTAATTATCTCTTCTTTACAATGAATAAGACTCTCTTATTCCTCTATTTCTTCTGTGAACATCCAGAATACATTTCATGAGTTCTGTGCCAGACAGCACTAATGTATTGTAGACTCCACCACCCAGACTCCTCATCTGAAATGTTTCATGCTCTGGAATACTACTTCTCAACCACAGGATGGAATGCAGATAGTCTCTCTTCCAAAGTTTGTTTGCGTAAGTATCTGTAACGTAATTCTGCACACCGATATCAGAGTCGTTTCCATCATGAACCCCATTTTTGCTTTTTAAACAACTCTATCACCACAACCATCATCATCATCATCATCATCATCACCACCAGCATCATCATCATCACTAGCATCATCAGCCATACAGGAGCAGCCATTTGATATGCAACTCTTCATCTCAGCTGGACTGCATCTTTACATCTTGTGGTATACTTGCACTCTCTCTCTCTCTCTCTCTCTCTCACTCGGGAATGGAAGGCAATATTTGAAGAGATTGGAGGAAGCGTTGGGGAGCTATCCTTACAGATCCAATCTTGGTGTCTTTTTGCATCTCCACAGTCTTATAGATGCACATCGCTACTCTCATCCACATCAATGCTCCCCTTGCCAAACAGTTTTCTGATCCCAGAGAAACTCTTCTTGGGTGGAGGTCCTTTCTGCATAGGTGTGCTGTTCTTGTGTGTTATCGATATCTGCAGAAAACATCAAATTCAATCAATAATGGTTATCCTGATTTGCAAAGAACATTTGAGCATCATTTCTAGAATTCAAACTAACTATCAAAAAGAATCATTCTTTTATCAAATTTCATCAAACCCGTCTCTAACAAAATATTGACCAACATATCGGTAAGCTTTGATCTATGTCATTTTTAAAACTTCACATATATGCAATTTTGCAAAAAGTGCTAAACTTTAATACATAAAATGTATTTCTTAAAAATTATTATCATTATCATCATCATCATTATCACCATCATCATCATTATTACTATTATTAACATCATTATTGGTATCATTATCATCAAATTTATTGCTATCATGATATTTATATGACTACGACTATTATTATTATCACTATCATCCCCGTTATTATCATTATTCCTACTAACACTATCATAATTATCTCTATTTAAATAATATTACTTTCATTACTATCATGATCATTACTACTATTAACACAACTCAGAATATGGTGATCCTAACCGTGCATGGAGGTTGAAGCCAAGGTTCTCCATCAATCTGCATTGGCACTCGTTTCCTTGTTCTGATGGTTACTGTCTGACATTGAGCTAACCTTCGACCTGATGACCTGATCCCCGCCTTGACTTGACCTACATGAAGTGAGCCCTCTAGGCCCACCACCTCCAACAGCTTGTCTCCTATCGCTACACAAAAAACAACAAAAATCAGGTAAATGGCAAATTACTTACCCTTTTATGCCTTTACATGTGGTTTGAACTGCCTAAATGTTGACTACTGCATCTGATATTATTTGGACAAGAAAAGCTTGTTTTTTCTTGTCCTTTCTTTTCAAAATTCAAAGCCATGGAATAGCATTTGAATTATTACCAAATGAGAAGAAGCAGCTGAATAGAGAACTTGTCTCATAAAATGTGATCTTAATGTTTTTCTACCGACTTAGTGGCACTTCATCATACAAATGTTCTCTTATATAATATCTCCCCACCCCTCCTCCTTTTCTTTAAATGGCATACTATGTCAACATGAGTTTACTCAATCAAATATCCACAAGTGAATTCTCCACCACTTTCTAAATCAAAAATGCAGCTAAAGCTTACTTATAGCCTGCAAAACATTACAGTATCTGAAAATTGATTCCCACTTACATTGCCTTGCAAACATGAGGTCAATGTTGGACTGCGTAAGACCCACGGTGGAATGGCTGTCACCATCTCGTTCTCGGTTTCTCTGGAGCTTCTTCTCCAGCTTGCGTTGTTTCTTCTTGCTGGGCGTGTCCCCCCAGAGGTTGGATCCTCCATAGATACTGGGGATGTTCATCACAGCGATGCCTTCCAGTGATGGGCCACTGGCGAGGTCTAAGGATACTCCATCACACTGGATTTAGAAATAATGCATTGGGTTAAGAATAATCACCATCTTAACTAAAATCATGCCATTCATTAATTCCTTTTTTTTTAAATTGAGTTATCTCCAGAAACATCCATCTCAAGACTCAAGTGAAGCAAATTTCAGGAGTGCCTAAGGTTTTTTAATGAAGCTTTTACTGGTATGCAGTGTTCATGTAAATTAATGCAGAAAGCAATCTCTCTCATCATAATATCAACCATTTTGTGCTCTCTGTATATTCATCAATGACAGGTAAAATACTGATTAGAGCAAATTCAAGTCCATTGGAATTGGAGAAGTAATTAGGCAATGATTTAAGTGGCTATATTTAGTCCATTGATTAGTGGAGAGCTATGTGTCAACCTCCTCATCTCGTAAAAATTAATTAGTTCTACACCTAAATGAACAAACAAAAACAACATATTAATGAAATCATTTTTGTATTCATTCAGTAATTTGTACAGTTATTAATTTGTACTAAATGAAGATTGACAATTGGTGCTTCATGATTTGAAGGAGTAAATAAGTCTGGTTTACCTTTGTCCAATTTCAATTCAATTCATTAGTTTTTCCTCTTTCAATTTTTCATATTTAAAATGATGGTACATTTTTACATATTTTCACATACCGGTATTAATGTACATATCGATGAATTTGCACAATACAATACATTAAAAAAACATGAAATTGAAAGAGAAGGAGGGCTGACTAAGAAGCAAAGTAAAAGTAATTAGTATAAATTATTATTTTATGAGAAAAAAACTTTCATGCATACAAGCCATAGATTACAAGATAACTCGAGGAGATAATGAGCCTAACTCACCATGATATCAATGTCTTCATGTAGGTTCTTGCAGGTTGAGGTGAACGTCTCTGAGGTACCAAACTCAAAGTACCACAGCTTGTTCTTCATTCGGCTGTTGAACTTCTCTGGATGCTTCTCCCTCATTGTGTGGAATCTGTGAGCGATCGATGCATCCTGAAAAAAAGAGCATCAAAACATTGTCTATTAAAGCCTAGAAATTGCATGTTTTGTTCATATTCTCTCTTCTTGGATTTTCAATGAAAAAAGGAAAATTGAGATCTCCTCCAGGTTTTTAAAATCTTTTCATCTCATCGTTTTTTTTAAGGGTCTTCCAGAATAAAATCACACTAACCATTTTCCCCCTTTAACTGGTCTGAGACTTGGCTTTGTTGAAAAAGAATATAACTGACACATATCAATATCCCACCTCACACCCAAAAAAAATGATCATAAATTGCCTAATAATCAAGAACATCTGGCCAATTCTCTTTAATATGTGGTCAGCCATTTTGTTTTAATAGAGTACAAAACAGATGCCAACTGGTGGTTAGGGTGATGGTTAGGGTGATGGTTATGTCTAGGATCTAAGTTAGTGTTTTTATTATTGTAGGACTGTAAAGCAACAGCTGCCACAGCATGTGTTGTAGAACCACGCCCACTTACCACTCCAATTGAAAAGTAGTTGTTGATGATGTTGTAGGGAACTGGATCTCCTTGCTCTGAAGTATCCGTTGTGCTAAATTCTATATGCCATCTATCTAATTCAACTGCGTCAGATACCTCAATGTCCTGCAGGATCTTTGGTAGACTACCGCCAGCATAACCTGATCAATAAAAATTAACAATCAGAAATATGGTGAGTCCATGATGTCTTAAAAGCTAATGGGTATGATGGAATTTCCCTTTCCTCAATGATAAAGGCCATCAAATGTGGTTACAATCATTCTGAAGTAAAGTATTTGAATTGTGCATGGATTTACCTAAAATTACAGAAATTTTGGAAAGAAAATTACTACAATTAGGTGTTTTTTAAAGAGATTTCTACATCTTTTATGTTTCTTTGTTTTTTAAGTGAAACCACTAAATGCACAGAGACAATAAAATAAGAATTATTTACAAATTTCGTCATTTTGTAATGAAATTTATTTTACTGTTTGTTTTGCTTGGATATTTGGCCATTCATAATCTTTTGATTAATCTAATACCTAAAAAGTAATATGTAACTTTAAAGTAATTCAGGGTACCTCTATTAGTTTTTACATATGATAATCTTGAATGTTTGAAGGTATAAAGATATGTTTTAATCTCAAGGTTTTGCATAATAACGGAGCACATATACCAATTTTCCTTGTACTATTTTCAGAAATGTTCAGAAAACAATCAAAATCACTTGATATGAAATGATATCATACCAAAATATTTGCTTTGTAAAACAATTGTTATTCTAATTAGTAGAATCACTTGACTCGAGGAAGGAAGTACTCAAGTGGGGAAATCAACCATTGTGCTCCTTGAAATACCCAAGTGAAAATATGCTTTCCCTTGCTATCAAAGAACAAATAATTACGTGGGAAAAATTTCAAAATTTTGCAAATGATTTTGTCTGAACAAGGCTTAAGAATGATTCTTAGCAAAAGTATTGCAGCAACAACACTTCTGATTGGCCATTAGAACGATACCGGTGTGTTAGTGACCAATCATGGATAAGATTAGAAAACTTACCTCCACCCCAATTGAGACACCTAGCTAGATCGTTGCCTGTACCTAAGGGAAGGATTGCTACTGAAGGCCTAGGTTCTATACACAGCTTATCTGAGAATCAAGCAAACAAACAAATACAAAAGTTGAATTTCATAATATTTTAAGTTAAGACACTTATGTATACCATTAACTTATACTTATCAAAGGATGGATTGCGTATCTGATTATACCAGAAGAGACATGCAAAAAGCACGATCAATGTTGAATTTAGCTTTAAGAATATATAATGAGTAAAACATAATAGTTAAAGACTTTCATGAAAACAACTCTACTTTTCATTATCTAGTGTGCACTGAAATCTTTTATCATACACATAATTACTTTAGGAATTACACAAATTTATCTTTTGCATGGTAGGCACAGTAGGAAAGAATGATGCACGGTCACGGGGTGTCACTTGACCAATTAGATTGCCTACATTCGTGAACCCGTTTGGTAAACTTACCTATACAATCTAATACCCATCCTACAGTACCATCACCACCACAACACAGAACTCGGAAGTCTGGTACGTCTTTGAAGAACTTTAACCTGAAGGAAAAATAAAAAATAAAATAAATATTTGGGATATAAAGTACACATGAATACCATTCTACTTGTTATTTCATTAGAACCATCACATAAAGATGAAATCATTGCAATTAACATGTTGACTATGACATCACTATTGCAATGGTTGATTAGTTTTCCTCATAATTATCAGCGCTTAAAAATTCATCAAAATATTGTTATTACCTTATTTGGTACGTCATGTATGCATCTTTCCTTTAATTTATCAATTCACCTTTCCAGCTTCTATTCTTTTCACAAACATGAATATGTAATATTAACGTATCATTCTTTCGCGATATGTAAGACCATGTATAGCCCTTGAATCTTCATCATCGTTGTCCTCTTTCATTTTGTATCCATGACAACATTCTCTTGCCTCTACCAGCTCGTTCCGCTGCTTTAGACCTCTTAATGTTTTAAATTCTGCTACTTTTTTAGGGCATTCTGCATTAATGTTTGTGCACACCTTAGCTTACTATTCTTTATTCATCAAATCATTTTTCCTTCTTTGCTATTTGCTTTTCTTCCTCCCTTCTTCTTCACCTCTCCCTTCCTTCTCTTTCTCTTCCTTCACCTATCTCCATTCCTTCATTAGCTAGTTAAAATTCTTTAACTCCATGCTTTTTTCTCTTTTCCCCTTCACCTTTCTCCTAATAATAATAATAGTAATAATAATAATAATAATAATAGCCTAATAGTCCACTCCAAATTTTATTAAACTGAAACAGAAATTCTTTTTGCCCAACTGATCGTGAGCCCGGCAGCCACTGAGCAGCGCCAGATCGACGTTGCTCCTTGTTTCCCTTACTTTTGCTACATTATTTCTAATGCTCTATCTCTTTGTATACCCTAAATGTCTGCTGTTTTTTCCCACTCCAGTCCCGATGCCCTCCCTGTCCCCTATTGTATGAACCTACCCTGCATTAGGTCCACCTTTGCCAAGATTATAGACCTGTCTGGGATTCAGAAGATACTGGAATTTTCTCATGATCCTTTCCCCTTGCCTGCCACCGCTCTTTGGATTCACAAACACTACAAGGGGATGAGTGCCGGGAAGAGGTGTGACCTAAAGAAACAAGAAAATATACAACCATGTCAATCAAACACATTTGATTACAATCTATGTTCCATTTCAATCTTTTCCCCCAAAGAATGGGCCATTAATTGCAGTCAAATTTTGATGTGCAATACTTCAAAACAATGTCGCATTCTTCGGATTGAGTTCCCAACACACAAAGACAAGGAAGGCGTACAACAATAGTTGCAAGCAAACTCTAGAAATTAAAAAGAAATAGAATTGTGGTTTTCACCCTGAAGCACCCCTGATATTTCATTTTTAATTCAGTTGGATTTCAAACCAAGTCTGCAAATTTTCTACCTTTGTGTACAAAAAGAGGATTTTCATAGATTTACTTTTTGATTTCAGAATACCACACGCAAGCAGTTAACTGTGCCAGCACCCCCTAGCTCAAGTTAGCAAGGGCATGGAAACACTTTTATGGTCAAAATCGTTTCAAGGAATTAAGGGTGCCCTTTTCATGAAGAATGCAAGATTAATTGATGTAAAGAGAAGTCATACAAACTACGGCTTCAATGCTTCTTGACATGATATTTAACTTATCTGACTAAAAGAGCGACATGATGGTGTTTCTTTAATTAATTGTGATCCTTCTACTTATATGGATTCCTTCTTTGGTGTAATATCATCACTATTGTGAACAGTAACTATAACCCCAACCAAGGTTTCTTTCTTCACAGTACAAGGCAAAATGAACAAGTTTCATTAAGTAATATTTCATTAATCAACATCTTGTACATAGAAACTCACAATACAGTACACAATATTTTTTAAACAAACTTGCTTCTACATAAATGCTTGAGTCCCCTAAGGACCTTTCTTTTTAAAAAGAAATCTTGATGACCTATGACCTTTAACATGACGTTACCTGTAACCCTTGACCTTCTATCGACATGGAGTCTGTCCTGCAGACACCCCTTCTTTGAGGACCTCCATCTGAAACGTCTTCTGAGGCATTACTATCTTTAGGTGTTAACGTGCTCCTCCTCTCCTGGAAAACAAGGACACAGACATGACAATGATAATTTAGCACTGTTACAATACAAAATGATTCTATTTTCTAGCACTCTGCTTAACGTAAAAGTATGTGTCGGTGTTTAGGAAAGGGGATGCGACTTGCGCCCTTCCGCCAACCACACAATGATATAAGCAAAGGCACTTAAATAATCTGACATCTCTCAATCTGGGGAAAAAATTACATAAATCAATGTAAATATATAATTTCAATGTGACGAACAATATGATATATTTGATCATAATTTATTAACTATGAATTAAAGCTTATCAATTACCTTTTGCATGTGTGGCCCATAAAAAAGTGGCCAAATTGTTGCATGCCACATAGCCATTTGGCTAGCGCACAAAGAAGGACCCACTGATGTGTTCCATCAGTGGTCAGTTCAGAAAGAGGAATTCAATTGATATGAGAAGATGAATCCAAGGCAAAGGAGAACAAAATCATCTCTTTTCCTATCTTCTCTTTCCTTTAATATTCAATTAACTTTTTTTTCCTTCTCCTCTTTCATGCCTTGAAAAATAACATGCCCCAATTTTCATTTCCATCTAAGGAAAAAATAGAAAAGATCTCTACAATAAAAGGGGAATGTGAGAAATAAACTCCAAGGATGGGTGAGGTAGGGGGAAATAGATGCAGGAGTGGTAGAATGTTTCAAATGAAACAAATTGCCAAGGACATATGATTAACAATGTACCTATGCTTTTAGTCAACTTCAAATTTACCGTGTGATGATTAACATAACTTCCTTGTTTGTCTCTTTAAAGGACAGAAAATGATGATGCCATTTAGGCATTTTATGAATTTAACATTGGAGACCATGGTCAAATAAAAGTTTATTAAAATAATTTCGTGCAATATCTTTATGAAAAGCTCATTGATTAAAACTGAATCAAATTATTTTGTTTTAACATTGTACAATCTATAGCCTACCTTCCATGAAATCATTCAAATAGCTTGTAATGATAATTTTACCTGTTTCCTGATAAAACACACTATCCTGAACATCTAGCTATTTTGCTATTATCAATTTTTTTGAATTTTGCTTGTTGATTTGTTGCAACACACTTGCTTACCTCTATACCTGTTGAAGGTTGTGGTTTACCATGCAATGATTTTCTGACGGAATTGACTCTTCCCTGAACGGTGGTGGTGGTGGTGGTGATGAAGGGATGGTAAGATAGATGAACGGCAAGCAAAACAGGCAGATAGGCACACAGGCAGACAGGCAGGCAGGCAAGATAGATAGAAGGGTGGAGGAATGAACGAGGGAGAGAAGGAAAGATTGGTGATGGTGGTAGTGAAGGTAGTGGTAGTCATCGTAGAGCAAGGCATATAAACACAGGCAAACATGCAGAATGGCATTCATCGAGATGGGGTTAAGGGTAAGGGGTAATAGAGGGAGAGGTAGAGGTGAAGGGGGAGAGGTAGGGTGAATGGGAGAGGTGGAATAAGGGTGAGGGGTAAATGGGAAATGAGGGGTAAGAATCAGGGGTGATGAGGGAAAGGGAGTGGTTGGTAAAGGGTGTGGTGCAGGAAGGGTGGGAGCAGGGTGGTGTGGTGTGGGGTAGGATGGGGCGTCAAGGTATAATTGTCATTGACAATTGGTTATGTAAGTTTTGTATATGAGAGATATAGAGAGTATTAATCATTCTTAATTGAATCCCAGCAGAGAGTTTACAATTTGATTCAGATTCACAAAATGACAAACAATTGGGAGGATTTAACAAAGAAATGAGATGATATAAGATGTTTGATATAAAATGAAAGTATTCACATTATCAAAACAAATGGTTCGAAGGGATAATATAAATTTGGTATAACCACAACATAACAAAAACAGGTTAGGAGTATTTTTCAGTTCATTTGAATTTAACAAGTACAGGACAGATGCCGGTAAAAACAACATAGTATACAAACATGATTCCGGATCAAACAGATAGTGAATATGATATAACGATTTGTTCATACACACAGGTTTAAAAGATGAATATAAGTATAGATTTTAATTGTTTATATGTCAGAACAAGATTTTTGTTTATAGATTGGGGTTGTAAAAAAAGCAGGATTGATTAGACATTTGGAGATGCATTCCGGGATAGGTTCAAAGGTCGTGGGATAAAAATAACAAAATAGGAGAAAGGTGGAGAAAAAAAGAAGAGAGAAATTATCCAAATGAAATAAATAAATGAGATAAGGTAGTTTTCATAAAACGATGGACTATTCTTGAAGTGGAGCATGCAGAGTATGATATAGTGATTAGATTAATTGGGTTATGAAAAGGAGTGGGGGACAGTAAAGTAGAGGGTTTTCATATACAGGTAGGTCGTGTTTTAAACAAATCTTGATCTATGCTTTATTACACTTAAAGGTCTATTCACATTGCTACTATGGTTCAGTATATCAGTGGGCTTGCATATACCATATTATGTAGGTGTATAACTAAGTATGTCCACAGGAGGGTTGAGCACTAAAACCAGTGCCACAAAGTAAAGTGGACAATAGAACCAGGGAAATGTTACAAAGAGGGGCATTTTCCTAAGATGACACAAGAATAATAACAAAAATAGAAATGGGATAAAGTTCACTGTACTCCATAAACACATAATACCCACATTAACAAAAAATAAATCACAAAAATAGAAAGTCATTCAACATACTATATTCAATTGCAATGAATATCATCTGCTGTCCTGCTTAGAGCCACAAAGTCGTTAACTCATAAACATTAGCTCATTTACAGAGGTAATAATAATACCCTTATGACTCTCAACAAATGGCATTTAAGTATCATACTTTTCACTATAAATAAAATATTTAAAAAATCTCCTTTTCATTAAATATCACAAATACTTTATATAGACCATGTGGTAAATGCTTCAATAGAAACCTTCTATTCAGATCATCTACAAAACTTCTTTTTTTTTAATTCCAAGAATTACATATATGTACAACAATATAAAGCTTTAACCAATGACAAAAAAAATGACATGAATAAATGAAGCAAACGTGACTTATGCATACAAGAGCACAGGTAGGAACCATAGAGGTCAAACATAATTATGACAACATCCCCCAATGACTCGACTTACTCTCATTCACAAATTCATCCCCACCATATTTAGGCATTACATAATTGGTGACTAATTAAAAGCGCTACTCTCTATTGATTGTTTCCTACCTATCGTATGCTTGTGTGTACTACAGGAGTCCTGCGTACTGGGATATCTAGAAGGTATGTGATCCCATGTGCGCTCAAGCGACTTTCGTTCTGCAAAATGTATTTTGTCAAACATGTACATTGTTGTCGGCTTCAAGCTTTAGTGGTCCACGGTCTAAATTTTCCTTACATTAAACATGATTTAAACCTTGGTCAGGTTTCACTGAATTAGTAGAAAATGGACTGTAGGGTTCAGGTTTGAGTTGTGCTTGGGTTACAGGGAAGGTTAGAATGAAAACCAAAACTTAGTTGCACGTACACCAGCTCAAACATCCTAATACTCCAAATCCACCCAAAACCAGTGGCCTAAATTATCCTTTAATCTGCTGTCTTCAGAAGCATGGAGTTTTGCTGGATATTCTTTCTGCATTATTTTCATGATTCTCCATGCACTTCAATTTTTATTTGAACAAACTGGAGTATAGTGAAAAGTTATCTTAATTTGTCAAGAGTCGAAACAAACCAGTTTTTGATTTACCATCTCATCTAATGAGTTTATGATTTTAGTGCATCACCACCATCTTGTCTGTTTGGACAAGGGCACTAAGTCGTACACTTGAACAGAGAGCTAACATCCTCCTGGCTCTAAATAGACGATATGATACTTAGTGCTGGATAGTGTATCAAATTAAGTCAAGAGAGCTTAGGGCCTAAACTTCAGAATATCTCTATATGTTACCATGGTGAGTGAGTATAATTGATATTTAAATGCCTTTCTTCAAAAGGTTTTGATTCCTTCTTTGATAAAAAAAACCAGGCCTCCTTTATTGAAAGCATAAATCAACAGGATTTTCAAATTCGCCAATACATGGTGTTACCGAGGACTCTCATAACCCAAGTCACACGGCAAAACAAGACTTCAAACCTAAGAATGAATTTGCCAGTCAGGGTAATATATGTTTGTGTATAGTCTGGTGTCAGTCACATTAGTGTAGCTGGGGTACGTCTAGAAAGTGAATCATGTTTGTATTGGTAATAGAAAATGAAACTACTCTTACAACAGAGGAAGTGTCTATTTATGTCCATGTGGTAATGAGTGGGGCTCTTTCACATGTGGTATACCAAGTCGATGGAACCGTCAAGGTCCTGCATTATTTGGATGAGGCAACAAATTTTCATCATATTTTCGTGGTATAGGGGAATTTATAACTTGTAGTATTTTGTCAAGATTTGTTACAGTATAGGAAGGTAGTATTTTTTCCTGTATAGAAAGGCGACTTGCGAAAAAAATGGTTGTATCTCAAAAGTTCTGAAAGAAAAAACTTTTTTTATTAAATGGAACCTGAGAATCTTATGTTTATCTATGTTTTCCCCTAATGTCACATGTACATGCACATTTATATGGATTAAAATCACAACAACAGCTAACCCAATCCTGGTCAACGACTTTCATGCATGAGACAACGGTGCGTAAGATCCTCAACCAAATGAATTTACAACCTAAGAATCCAGGATATAAAGATTAAGAAGCAGATATATGTAGGTCAATGTCACTCAATGAGAGTTATTCTGATTTGAAAATTAATCTCTACAAGCTATTGATCATTAACTTCAATCTATCTCTTTATATCTGAAAGATTTACAGTAGGTTTTACGGTTGTACCATGTAAGAGAGGGGGGGGGGGGGAAGGATTGGGGAGTCCTGAAAAGGACTGTCGGTAATATTTCTTTCTTGAGTGTGCGTGTAGTCCAGAAAAGAACTGTTGGTAATCTTTCTTGAGTTTAAAGTTATAAAGAGAACTCTAAGCCTACTGTAGATCCACTTCACCATGCAAGCCGATACTTATATAAGCAGCATGTGAAAGATTTGTCGATCATTGTCCGATAGTCTTCTCCTACAAAAAGTGATCAGTGACTTGTCTATCTCACCTAGCTATCTCACCTAGCTATCTCACCTATTTAGTAGTATCCCAAAATATCTGAGACAGGTGATATGTGCATATTGATTAATATGGATATCCTCTTAATGAAATGTTGATCCTTTATGTCTTTCCCAATTAACTACATTCCACTCACATCTAAAATTAATCATATTAATCCTATGATCATTCAACTGGCATAAGGTTATTTGGATTGGCTACCCAGTTTATACTTTAGTGATAATTGATGCATTATTAAGCCTTGTTCATATAAGATGTGGTAAACTGCCATCCAAAGAACAGCTTCTGCACAATAACGCCTGTTCAGATATGCATCTGAAAACCAAGAAGTTTTGTTCATTTAATGACGTTAAGTGTGATACGATTCACATTTCTGTATCTTATAACACAGAGCTAAGTGAATACGTGTAGGACATTTAATATGCGCAATTTCCATTGATTTACACGGCGATTCATCGCATCATATCTGACTGATCCATAATACCATTTTAAGGTGAAAGGCAAGTGGGATGGAAAAGGAAGCTGTACTCAAAAGGCAACTACATGTATTCATTTATCTACGTGTAATAAGATACAGAACATGTTGAGTGCACTTTGCTTATATATTTTTCTATAGCAGCACGTTGCTGTTGTTTTAAAAAATAAAGTTTACCACTTAAAGTATGAATGGGGCTTTCAAATCTTGACCACAACTCGGCCAACGAGAACTATCCAGTCTCCATTTTTCCTTTTTCACTGAGTATTGGTCGTGGTTTCTGGTCATATGGAGCAATCGAGTAGTGAAACAAGGAAGCTTAAAGTTCTTAATGGCTCCAAATCTGACGTAAAATGTAAACAGTCATATCAAATGTCAAATGAGTCTTTATGCTATTCCTCATAAACCAAATAGTTAGGGAAGTAAAAATATGACCTCATTTTACAATATCAGTCTTGGATTGAACTAAACCTTGCCAACCTGTAAATAAAATTCTTTTCAGCAGCATTAGGATAAAATTGAATAAAAGAAAGAGAAAGTTTCCATATAATATAAACTTAATAA